CCTCTTTGGGCTCTTGAGACCAGTAGAAGAACCGACGCGACGACGGCTTGAACTTCAACACAAACACCCGACCAGTAGTGCATTGAGTCACTCGCTTGAACTCAGCCTCGTCTGGGAATATGATCAGATCCTACGCGTGTCCGGCCATTGGGTGCACAACAAGTATGACATATGCGAGAGATTAATGTTATTAACAATTGATAATAAGTGCGGTGTGAATGGGAGGCCAGGGATGGCAACAAGTAATACATACGTCCTCTATATGTCCCGTTTGTCTGTCTTTCCAACAGAAGTGCATGAGTTGGTCGTCCGAACTCTGGTGCAGATATACCAGTCCTTTGCGGCCCTTCACTGGACTCACCTGTCCGTAGGGGGAGAGAGACATAACATGTGATTAGTTAATGGTTTCAATGCGAGAGAGAGAGAGAGAAAGCTGTAGACTGCGGAGGAATGTGGTTGACATACAGTAGATCCAGTCTGAGTCATCTTCCCGGCCTTAAACTCGACCAAATACTGACTCCGGGTCTGAGCGCCGGTATTGCCGCCGAAGAGGAAAGCGCGTGACATAACTGTCCGATCGATGGATTGGTTTCGCAATGGATTTGTTGATTACAATTGATTTCAATCACAATTGAAAAGTGATTTTCAGTGATTGTTTTTGTGGCCAAAACTCAAACACAAACTGATTTGTCATTCAATGCAATGCTATGGACGCCGTTATGGCCCAGCCTTTTGGGCCCTTTATATACTATATTATTGAATATTAGTCAAGCGATTCGTTTCATATCTAAACATACCATAACATAACTGACAGCTTAAACGTATGCTATGGGCAGTGATCTGCTTGAGTGACGATAAGTGGGCTTTATTTCGTTACATCTATTATAACACAACTTATATTTATATTTTTTGTTCAATAAACGTATGTATTATTACTAGACGTAATCTATGGTACGAAACAAACTCAACTTTCGCTACACAAATCTTTAAGACGTTTTTGTTAGCGCCAAACAAAATTTATGACTCAAAGACTTGTATTAATTAATAACGTTTTTGGCAGTAATTAAACTTAAAGTACTTTACATATACTTTATGTCAAGTGATGTGAACCCAAAACTTATGCAAAAAGTTTTGCAAAACTTTTTTAATTGTAATTAAAAACAAAATCGTTTTGAAATTCGGCTTAAATCACAAAATCTTGTTTAAAAATGTTTGCATTGAAACAATTAGTGAAGAGATTGCCATTAAATGTGCGGATAATAAGTGGTAAACGAATAAATGGTGACAAATGGTCGACAACTATGACATCCGCGAAGAAGCAATCAATGGTCGACTCGTGGGAAATGGTGCCAAAGAAGCGCTGGATGTGGTGTTCATTGCGATGCCTTTCTCGATGGACTTTTGACGGAAAGACATACCAATTAAGTGATGAAAATGTATTTAAAAACAGTGATGAAAAAGAGATACTCAATGATTATAACAATCAGTGGGCGTTCAAAGTCATTGAACCTCTTCTAACCGATGATAGGATCAATTGGCGACAAAGTTTCGCCACAAAAAGCACTGCCATTAATGATATTGTGACCAAATTTGTGGCCATTCCTCCGGAGAGGTTCAGATGGTTTGAGTTGGAAATCTATGATTTGCTTCGAGTGATAAAATCACTGGGTTTAATACATTTGATGTCTGTATTAAAGTCAATGACTAAATGGTCAGATCTTGATCTCTATCAATCATTTGATCCATTGTTTCACAGCGTTTGGTCTAAAGTGGACTACGAGTTGAGAGACAGACTGATAAGGGATGAGTTGAGGGATAATAAAGATGTGGAGAAATACTTATTGTTTGGGAATCTGTTTTATCGGCTAAAAGTCGCAAATTTATGTCAACACAACCAAACATTACTAAATCGCTTGAATTCACCACAATTTGAGTTGAATAAAAGTTCGTGTCTTCACCTCATGTTTTACGCCAGTATTTACCGAAAAGTTGATCCAAAGTTTGCTAAATATATATTACGACGAATGGAAACAATGATAAATGACATGACTTTGGATGAAATGGCGGTCTTTTGTAACACTTGTTTCCGAACGCAAACCAAACTAACGGATAAACTGTTGAATGCAGTCATCGATACCGATGTTTCCGACGACACCCCTAATAAAGCGCGAACTGCGGTCACGAAATGCATCCGATATTTTTTACATTCATCACCCGATTCTCGTCCTTTTAAGCCACAAATCCGTCAATACGTTAACCGAATGAAACAGTTGTCCACTAATGATGCCATGACTTCCACTCATTTGATTATTCTCGTCTATACGGCCCGCGTATACGACAAACAGCTAATGTCCCACACATTTGAGACACTCTACGCAAATCCAATGATCTTTCGTATCAAAGACATGAGTCGCATATTCTTATGTCTATCGCATTTTAATTATAAATTGGATGCCAAGAAATTGCAATCCATTTGTGATAGTGTCTACACAAATGCCCATCACTTTGAACTGCATACATTTCCACATGATTTGTTAACTATGATATACTATTTAGCAATTTTACAATTTTATCACAAATCATTACTTCAATTGTGTTTTGAATCCACATATTTGACCAAAATGAAATCAATGAAATATGATGGTAAAATTCAATTACTCGCTGTAAACACCGCGCTATCAATTGAGATGCACCAAGAGTTTGGTGACATTCTTCTGGAGCCGAATGTGGTCTATCGGTATCATCGATGCATTCTCTCCGATATAAAAGCTAAGAATCCTGTGACTAATAAACAGCGTTTGGTTACCATTGCATACAAGAGTTTGAAGAAACGATTGGATCCAAGAGTGCAATTGTCTCATTGTCTTCCTTTTAGGGAATGGCCACAAGTCAAAGGCGTGAAATCTAGGCAGCACTTAAATACATCCCCTTAAATAAAAGTAACAATGGATCTTTCTTCTCTTATATATAATATAACAAATCAAATATATAATTATTTATAATTATTAAAAATATGATTATTTATATTATAAATAATAAATAAATATAAAGGATATACATTAATAATATTTTAACATAAACAACATTTTTAATTAAGCCAATTATACGAAATCTTGGTATAGCTTTTATCCTTTAGGTGAAAATTGAAAAATTTCTTCAAAATCATAATCACTTTATCAAATCCAATCTATTGATATGTCACATGACATATATATTTGTCAAATTTATAATCAAATCTATTTAATAAAAATGGCCACAACTCCTGAACCTGAAGTCCTAGACACTTGTCGACTATACCAATAAAAATTTCTCACCATGCCTCATAACATCTATACTAAATGATATCAATTAAATGAAAAACTTATTTTCCACGATTTGGTCATTTGTAATCAATATGCAGTGAGTATCCATTGTAAGAAAAAATGCTTATAAAATAAGGGGATGTATTTAAGTGCTGCCTGGATTTCACGCCTTTGCCACAAGTAGTCTATTTGAGTGAAAATCACCGCAACTTTGCATTGACTCCCGAAACAGTATTCAAACCCAATATGTTTAAGAATTGTATCGCTATCTATGTGTTGGATGTGTTCGACTACTTGGTGGACACCACGCGTATGAAAGGGTCGGTTGTGTTTGACATCCGACTATTGGAGAGAATGGGCTTTAAGGTGATCGTGAGGTCAAGGGATCGATTCAAACGAGATATGAATTCAAAATCAAAGGTCAATACCATATTGAATGAGATGAATGGATGGAATCATAATTTGTAATTCACTAAAATAACTATAACTATGATTACTAAACTGTAAATATTGTATTAATTAAAACCAAGTATTCCGAATTGTATAATAGTTAACCTATCGAATAGCTGTGCAATCCTTGTCTTTTTCATTGCATTCAATTGTAAACTTATATTTGACACCAAAATCTTAATTTATGCAATATTATTGTATTTCTTATCAGTCAACTGATTGTCGATTCCCATTAGTGTAGAAACAGATATTTCTTGTGTTAATATTTATGTAAAATTATTTAAAAGTAGTTCAAGTGTCTTAACTTTACGTTCCGTTTCAGTTAATCGTTTAAAACGTTATATTTTTGTTGTTGTAATTAAATATACAATTAACTCATTTATTTCTATTTTTCAATGATTTGCTGTTTATTATATAAATGTAAGTATTGTTTGAGTAAATAAAACATTTCTTTCACTTATAAAAGTTTGTATCTTTAGAAAAACTTTTTGAAAAGTTTTTGTTATAAATTGTGCGATAAATTCATTTCAATTTCTGTTAAGTTCAGTACAAATTGAGTACAAGTATTGTCAAAGTTTTGTTTAGATTTCGTAAGTATTGACAAAAATGTGTTTAACAATGTCTTCGGAAAGTGAATCAGCGCTGAATTGGCCTTCAGTTTACGCGAAGAACTCAATGGACAGATTCGGTGATGATATGTGTCAACAGTTGTTATCTTATCTGTCATTCAAAGACCGATTCCGATATGAATGTGTGTCCAAACAGTGGCAAAGAGTTGTATACGAGACACAAACGGAGTTAATAATTGATAATAATTTCAAACATCTAATAAACGCGAGATATTTTTGGGTAATACAAGTAAAAAACGNAATCGTTTGAATTAATTGTGAAAAAGTGTAAAAACATCACAAGAATAGCGTTTAAGTCATTTAAATATTTTAACGACAATTCAATGAAAATAATTATAAAACATTGCAATCGTTTGAATAATATTTACATTCATTTCAACAAATTCCGCGATTGCGGGCAAAATCAGGATTTGATACCAGTTTTGTCGGCCATCTCTTTAACTGAAGACACGATTAATATGTTTTTTGCAAAGTTTGCCAAACAATTGACAACAATTGGTTTCGAGCACTCATTTAAAACCACTTCTGATGTAAATTATAATATTTGGAAATATTTTGAGACAAATCTCAAGAATTGCTATAATTTAAAACATTTGACACTTAATACACGCGTGAATTCATTGTATGTCTTAAATGGTAGTGAAAATGAGTGTCTGTTTAAACGTTTGACGACATGTCATGTCCGGAGCTATCAGTACGATATCAATAGCTTTAATACATTTGTCGATAACTATAAGAATAGTCTAAAATCATTGTCAATGGAAGTGTGGTATTGTAACGAAAAAACAATTCGTGGTCTAATCCATGGTATGTCACGAATGAAAGCATTAACTCATCTCAAGATTCCCGAAGGATTTCCAGACCATGTGTTGAGACAAATAGGCATCAATTGTCCACAACTGAAGACACTTTCGGGGATCGGAAACATAAAGTGCAAAAAAGAGCTCTTGAGATACATTGAAATTATTAATCAATTTAAACATTTAAAAAGACTTAAAGTTTTCGCACAATTTATTGCCAGTAATCACAATATACTGACTGCTCATAGACTCAATCACTTCAAGCAATTAACATATTTAAAGTACAATTCAATGGTTGACCAATCGTTTTTCACATCCATTGCAACCAATTTCCCAAAACTTCAATATCTGGACATAAAATGTGTCAAAATTACTGATAATGTGTTGAATTGTTTGTCAAAATTGCCAAAAATTCAGACAATAAGACTCGACGGCAGTAAATACTATACACCGAATGGTCTCAAGAATTTCATCATTAATTGCAATAAAATTGAAGAAATTTTTATAAATGGAGTAAAAATTTTCAATTGATTAAAGTAGTCATCCAAACCAACATCAATAGTAAGTGTAATTATTGTTTAAACTAATTTTACTGAATCAATAAA